ACGACGTTTTTCCGACGACGACCCTGCCGTATGTATACATAGTTATAGTATATATATAGTTGGTAGTCGCATAAATATTATTACCATTATTGTTATTATTATTATATTTTAGAAGGAGCGAAGAAGACGACGTGACTTTTGTTAAAGTATCCCACTGATCTGCGCCGGGATCAGCATCAGCCACAACCACCGTCGCTTATTCCTACCTGCCTGCCTGCCATGCCTACCTGGGTGGTTTATTTACACTTTTTTTTTTTTAACATATATACCTCTACGTGTATGGATGATAGATATAATATAATATATATTTTCCCCGAACCAACGGTTTAATCGGTCGGCTATGTGCCCATGTGCGTCCCGCTGTTTCGTGTTATTGGAGCCCCCCATCGAGTTTGGCAACGAACACCACCGGCCCCAGCACCGGCGTGCACCGCGTCATGTATCTATATGCCATCATGCAGAGAGAGAGAGAGACCAGTGCCGCATTTATTATTATTACTATTATTATTATTATAATACTCTGTGGCGCACGACCCATGCATTTTTATACGTCACTAAATACTTTGTATCGGACACACAACGAAGATGACTGCTTATTTCTATATAATGTAATTGTTGTGGTAGGAACAATTTTTTTTTTGGAATTTCTTCTTCGCATCGACCCAAACGGTCGCGTTTGTTGTATTGGAGACGCTCGTACAAAAAGAACTATAGAGGAACGTTCGTTGTTTGCATGTGCGTGTGCGTGCGTGTGAGTTGTGAGCATCGCGCTAGCACACAAAAACCTTTTTGTCCCCTATATAGTCGTTGTTCGGCGTGCAGTTCTCTTTCGGTGCAAGACCGTTTGAAAAGTAATTCGACCAAAAAATAAATTCTTTGGCCAAACAACGGTACTACCTTTTTTTATTTTATCGTTTATTTTTCCCCCTCGACATTTGATACGTCTAAAAATTACATTTACAATACAAGGGATGCATTTCACGAGATTCAAATATTATTATATTCATCATTATATCATTATTATTACCGATTCATTCCCGTTTAATTTTTTTTCGTCCGAGCCAAAATACACCAAGAAACAGCGGAGAAATACAATTATTAATTTTATTAAACTAATAATAATCAGAAACAATAGGCGGTAGATTATCTCACAGCCAGCCAGCTGTGCTCACGACAAGCTTATACACACACACATACACACACATACGCACGCACAAGCCAGCCACATAACAAAAATGGCCGCGTCGCCTCGGGGTCATTCCACAAACACACACACAAGATAGTCGTAGCTGCTGCATCATCATTTAAGCGCCCATCATCATCATCACGATTGTGTTTAAGGATATAATATATATACGTATAACATTAACCACAGAGCAGTTATTATTGTTGAATAATATTCTGCATGAGAAGATTGAAATTCCATAGTAAAGCTTACGGTGTACAATCAATGTGTATATTATATTATGTACCTATAGGTAGGTCTTATAATAAATAAACTTAACAAAAACACTTGGCTTTTTTTTTTTTTTAATTAAGATTTGTTACACATAATAAAATGATAACAATTTAATAGCAAATTCAAATGCTGGAATAAAAAATAATGATTAAATATTTTTCTTATTAAAAAATAACATAATAGGTAGATATTTGCCTTATTTACGATCGTCTTTTAACAGAATCATCCATAAAAAAAATAATGACGATGATTATCTTTGTTTTTAGATTAATGTTTTGTTTACATGCATCATTTTGGTTTGACAAAAACAACGGTGATAAAATGAAGAACAATGAAAAGAAAAAGGGGTAAAACTTTAAGTGCATAAAATAAAAAGCACCAACTGAATCCTTTTGTTTTCGTTATTATAATAGGTATAAGTATATAAGAAAAATAAAATAAGAACTTGTTTAGTACAAACTGGTGTATAATTAATTTATTAACGAATTTCGATATGATTAAACGAGTACTGTCACGTTACTATAACAAGAACCCATACATTCAAGAATATTTTACTAGGTATAGTGATTTTTAATATAAACCTTAAAAAAAAAAATAGGGAAAAATACCGGAATAGTATTATAGTCGTATATAATAGCATTAAATAATATATTGTATTAAAAATGTGCAGAGGCAGGTATACAAAATAATAACAAAAGGCAAGACATTTTTGTCGAAAGGTAAGTAAGCAGCTCTACCTTCGCCTTATGTTCGTGTGTGCTTGTATATTATGTCGTATGTGCTGCAGTATTCGAGAGTGTGTGTATGTGTGTGTGTAAGTGAGTGAGTGAGTGAGTGAGTGAGTGAGTGAGTATGCGTGTGTTATGTGCTTCTCTTTCTAATGAATACACGTCATAACAATAGGGTCTCCTCCACTAGGTAAAAATGTTCTTTTCATACAATATAATATAATAGTGGAGCCATTGCATTGTCAGATAGCCTTATATATCATTAAGAATAATATAATATAATATTCAAACCGGTAGGTACAATATAATATATAGAGTTCCATTTAGAGAAACGTAGTTTTTATACTTTTCAACGTAGAATATCTTTTAAATTGTATACAATATACAATATTTATTATTTATATATTATAATATGTATAAAAATATTATATTTTAGTAACATCGATCTACCTACTCATTCATATTATCGTTTAATATTTGTTTTAATGTTGTGTTATGAAGGTTTTCATCTTATAATATATTATAATCAGTATAAAGAATAAAAGGTGTCATATCCCCGCTGTTTTTCATTCTGAAATCGCATCCCAAGGGGAACATTTGACGGCAAGGAAAGATGTTGATAGAGGAGGAATAAAACGACAATAATAAAACGAAAAAAAAGACCGACGAAATAAGCTCAAGCGAAACATTATTTTTCCCCTTTAGAAAGCAAAAAATGTGTGATAAGACTTAGTGACTTTAGGGGGAGGTGAAAGTAATTAGATCACAAATTTCAAGAAAAACGTGGTGGTTATTTTCTACCCACCCACCATCCATGATCTCACGTGGCCAAGCCACCACCACCACCACTGCCTCTGCATAGTATTCTCATTTAATCCCGCGGGAGACAAGTGACAGGGGTGGCTGCGTACTAAAAATACTTATCAGTAAATAAAGAAAAAAAGAGGCCAACATCATCCTACTGCTGCTACGAATATCATTATTTTTTTTTGTTATTACTATATTTTTTTTGTGCAAAAAAAGCTGCAGTAATAACTAATAAGTATTAAATATATAAAACTTTAACAAACCAACCCGTCAAAAAAAAAAAAAAATATTTGAACCCGGGTTAAAATAAAATATAATATATGTCTTTTATTGACGCAATACTAATGTAAAGAAATAACTAATGTTATACGCACCGACTACAAAGCACTTAACCACGTTCGAGAACGGCAGAGATATAGTGACAATTTCCATTGTTAGAATACCACTATATATGCATAGAAATACATAACATTTTAAATCGAAAAAACGAAGGAAAAAATTGTAATATTAAAGTTTGTCGCGATAAAATGATTTTTCAGTATTACACAAAGTACTATATTTATGCGCAACGAAGACAAAACTTGAAATTATGAAGGCGTCACTCCTGCCGCTTCCATCGTCGCCATAAACTGGCGGCAGTACTAGTATTAAGACAGCAACCGAACTGCAAAGCGAGCAGAGAGAAAACCTTTTAAGAAGATGGGAAAGTTTGTTTTCCCACTGCGGCGTCTAAAAGTTTCCACCACCTTCCTCCATTTATACCAATATCAAGCAGCAACATGTGAAATACTCTCAAAACCACCCCTTGTCCCTGTTGAAACAGCCACTAAGATGAGTTTAAGTTAAACCTTTAATATTACATCGAAATTATTTTACGCTTTTCTGCTTTTAGGTAGTACTAGAATTGTTGGTATTTTAACGGTGATGTGTCAGAACGTATTAAACGGCTGAATGCTCAACTTCTTAACATAAAACAAAATTTGTTTAAATATCAAACAATATCATACGATACCTAGCTATTTTAATTTATTGTTTTTTTTTTTCCAAGAACTAGATGTCCAAAGAACAAAAATGTTGTTAAATTAAAAACATAAATGTATAATACATTATTTATTTTGATACATGATGTAATAAAGACAATCCGTTTCCCCTGTTATAAATCTGACTTCCTAAATTAAAATTATGAGAAATCGAAAATATTATTTAGAGCTATATGTATAATCACACAAATTGTTGTAGATTGGTTTAATTATTTTTAATTGATAATTATTAATAGTATTTTTAAATTAAATGATTTAAATGATAAAAAAATAAGTAATTCATAACTTTTGTTTCATTATTTACACAATGAAGTTAATAAATTGAACAAAAATATTTAAAATTGCATTCAATGTAACCACATATACTGACCATATAAATATATAATGTTTATAATTTTAATTATTTACTCGGTCATAAAACTGAAGTTAAACTAATTAAAAAATAATGTTTTATTTGAGGAAAATTATAGTTAAAATATTCAGTCCTACAAATTCTACATTTAAAACATAATTATGACACTTTATTGATAACGTATCTATTCTAGTTAATCTCCTCGTATAATATATCACAGAAACAACATGCATGATGATAGTTGACATAAAAATAACATCTATATGTAGACTGTATATATCGTAGACGATTATCGAAATAAACGGTTATAATAGTATGATAATATTCTGGTTGTAGGGATTGTCCCCATCCATATAATAACAACAAGGACACACGCAGGACAAACACTCAAGATGATGTCACTTGAACAACGTATGTGTCCAGGCTCAAGTGACATACACGCGTAGGTAAACATGTTACTATACAATAACGTTTCGTAGGGGTTCGAAAACTCCCTAGATACGGGACGAGAACAACGCTGTAGTGGCGCCTCAAATGTTATTTGTGTTTCTGTTAAGTGATATTTCTAACCATGAAAAAAAAAAAAATATACAAATTAAGCATTCGTCACTTACCAGGATCGCCGTGGTCTAGACTCTGCTGAGAGCCCGGTTGCTGTGACATCGGCCCAGGCGTGCCTCCCGAACCGGGAGATCGGTCATCGTTCCCGTGTCCACCGTACGATAATGAAGACGAAGGTGGTCTCTGAAATAAAACAATTAAATGTGTGCATTAAAGAACATGTCGTTGTAGTGCTACGTGTGAGTTCTCTTAAAAATATAAATAATCAATAGGTAGGTACGAGACAAATTTTAACCGTGTAATGGAGTAATATGTTTTTCGTGGAAGAAAACCACTAACAAATGTATACAAAAACCGCCACCGTTGCAATATAATATTTAGTTTCACGGTTTCCCATGGGATCAAATACGACGATCTTTCCTTCTTCCTATACTTTTACTACTTAATCGTATGATAGTACTACTACTGCTGCAACTGCCGCCCCAAATGTAACCTTTTTCTGCTTCCCTTACTACATTTCGTAATGTTTCCTCATCGTTGTAGGGAATACCATCCTCTAAGGGATAATATTCTCCTGCCCTCTCTTACATACGCACGACGTCCTAGTGACCCTAAAATGTCAATAATTCTTCATATTTTTTTTTATTATTATTATTTGATTAAATATTAATAACCGTTACTGTCATTATTATACAAGACTATATCAAATTATAAAATGAACTAAATTAGAACTAACTTCCTCTTCTCCCCTTCCCCTTAACCAAAAAAATTAAAAAAATATAATATAGTAATTGCATTTAAATTATAATAAATAATATTTTTTTACTGATGTACACATTGTAACATAATTTATTATCTTATCGCAGTCAAATATTTGTTACAATATGTATGAGTGTTTATTGTTTACTAACGACTGACTACTATATAAATGAACGTTGGGGAAAAGGTATTATAACACCCAAAGCAATCGTCGTAAAATAAATAATGATTTTTTTTTTTTTTATTATTATTTACTGAGTACACAGATAAAACAAAAATCCATCCATTTACCTTGCTACTGCTGTTGTAGGGATATCCTTTTTTACTTTTTACATTTTTTTCTGTCATGATGTTATTTTTTGATAACTCAGTATGACGACAACATATTTATTTAATTTTGTTTTTCTATAAGGATTATACCGGTAATATAAGCGGTATGTAGATACAGCTACGTATATCTAGGAAAATGATACGAAATCCGGTTTTCTTCGGTTAGTGTTTTTAAGTAACACATAATGGATTTTGCATGTACTCGTGATCTGTGTCGTTATATTAGGTGTACCAGGTTACGTGGGTGCGAATGAAAATAAAATAACAGCTTCAACGATTATTATGAAACTAAACAATGCTGTCACTTTTACATGAGCTGAGTCAATTATTTCATTTATATAGCCATTAAATATATTATGCATATAAAGAACTTGATTTGAATATTATTTATCAATAACCCATTACATTAATGATAATAATTATTAATATTTTAATGTCAATACACCTAAACACATTTTTTGGTGTTAAACTTTGGGAGATTTCATCATTATTATTATATTGTTATGATAAAACCATCATATTATAACCATCTTACCCACACCCACGTTTGTTTGCTGAAACCATATTTTCGCCTCCAAGGCGTATAAGCGTGTCCAATTATACACTCTTTATAATAAATAGTAATATTACCTGCACATACACAACAATACTACAAGTGATTTTTGTTAGTCTGCAGTTAGTGAAGTTAAATACCATCAGTATACGCGCATGTATATATAATTATGTAGTTACAACATACCATGATGGCAACACAAGTGGTATATTATAGAAATTACGACGGTTGCGTGCGTTCTTCTTGGCACTTTGTGGTGTGACGTGAAGTAAAGACTGTGAATGAGGGACAGAGGAGGAGGGATAAGGATATACCGTAAAGGCGGAAACGGCAATGTGCACACATGTCGATAGATTTTTAACACGCGGGGTGTTCAGCACACCCACGAACCGTAGTAATTTCTTGTAACGCCGACTATGTGTTTCCGTTACATTCTGCCAAATATATACATGTTTTATTTTTTTTTCAGAAATAACGAGAACCATACATACATTTTTCTTGCTGAATTCTCTCACTCGCTCTGTCTCACGCACACGCACGCGAACGCACACACACACACACACACACACAAGTAATATACCGGACATTTTTAAGGGTTAAACTAAACGAATTCCCAGGTGTGTATTTACTTCCGGCATATTTTAAGTATTATTATGTAGAAAGAATGAATTTGCCATAACTGCCACCAGCGTACCAACGAAGAGAATTGTTTATATTTTTTTCATTTCATATAGAACGACGGCGGCAGAGGATTGTGAAAAACGAAAGGGTCTATCCCGTACCAACAGTGTAGACTCTGCTTCCGGTCTTTTCATAAACCCTCCCACACATGCGCGCTTTAGGCAAATAATATGATATATTAAAAAGAAAAAACCGCAGGATTATTTTATTTTCGATTGACGACAGGAACTGTAAAAACATATTTCATTTTATATACTATGCTATTGTCTTTGTGCGAGTTGTCGGTTCACTGAGACCATTGTTAGTTTTTTTCGTATCCATATTTTTTTTTTATTCCATAAACCACTTTTGTCCGAACTAGACTAACTACCACAGCAATTTTATTATAATGTATGAAATTCGTACTTTATAAGGAGACAACCGGTTTAAAATAAGCAACGGCCCAGACCAATAAACAGCATTTAAATGTTTAAATTGAATTTCCTTTACTTTATTATAGTAGGTACTTTCAAAGCTAATGTGAATATGCAAATTACCAACAGAGTTATAATTTTTAAAAACATTTTATGTTTGCATAGAAATTATACTATATACCAACTTATAATATAAGTTTTTTTTTCATGTCAATAATTAGTATTTACAGAGAGCTCTAAAAAAATTACGTTAAAGCATAAATTATACAAAAATATTGACCCACAAATGTACTGAAGTGTTCGGTGCCATTGAAGGCATTATTGTTAAAATTCTAATTACAAAGGACTGTTCAAAGCGAAACGAGTTTAGTGACAATTGCAATACTTTTCATTAAGCGATAATAACACAAAAAAATTGTAATACCTAGTTGATAATTGAATAGTGCCGAACTCCCTCAGTCATAAGCCACTATATTAGCCACTCATATTTTGCTGGAAAGAGACAATTATCGGTTATTTTTATCTGTCGCATTGCTATATTAGACCCTAAATTGTCACTCAGCTCCTAGCCATCCACAGACCTACAGCCAAGTGTTTTGTCGAGGTTCTCCTTACTCGAGCGCACAGGACTTTTGTTATTGGTTTTACCGCTTTGATCTAATTTCATCTTCTATTTCATTTCAAATATACAATTACCTACCTATACATTTTTTATAAGAACACAAGCATCAATTATTACGATGTATAGAGTCGACAGAAAAAACCCATGGTGTTTTCTCGTATACAGACACGTCTTATCAAAATTACCGAGATGAAAAAATAATAAAAACGGCGAGTGTTATAGAACACAATCATGTTTCACTCGTCTTGTACCCTGTTTTATCCTTCGTATCTGTACACTTTGACAACTCAATTCTGCCGTACACATACGCAGGTCTCACGGGTATTGCAACTGCTACTTATGAAAATTTTATGAGTTCGGTGGTCTGCTGTGCGCCGTTTGCTTCTAACTAGACATATATCCGTCGTGGTCGCGTAGTTGCAGTATACATTTTTCATGGTCGTTCGGTATTCTGTTTTTTACACCACGGCGGGCGTTTGCTCTTGCCAAATTAATGATTGACACTCGGCGCGTTGCAGTGTGTACGTATAATATAGTAGGTATGTACACAACCCGCTATCGTTTCTTCTTTTCTTTTTTCCGGTTTCTTTTGCAGCTAGTGCTTTTCAATATCTATCTCCCGTGCCACGTATATGAATTATTTAATGCTAGCAGTTGTAAAATTCACTCAGTCCGTGATGCGTAATCGAAACAGAGAACCGAAGGGGTGCTGCCTAATAGTTTGATAAACACGTCATGTACTCGCCACGCAACTCAGCTATGTTGTTGTTTTTTTCCTTTCCTGTTTCCAACCCTGCCGTCTTTCACTGTTTATTCTCCGTGCACCGGGATTTAACTAAATAAATTATAATATCATCTACACGCGTTCTCTTCTTTTAATAACGTTGAATAAACAACACAATATGTTCTCGACGGCGACAGAGCAGTATTTTTACCGTCGTATACAATATATTATACATATAATATACTTCAGGAGAACCAACACTCCGAATACATAAATATATTACATAAGTAATATGGTTGAAAATATGAGTAAATTAAATTTTGGCATAAGTATAATTTCTGTATTGTTTGCAGGGGATGAATAATAATAATAATAATCACGATTAACCTAAATATTATTACCGAGTGAAATATAATATCACGCGGTGTCATAAACAACAGGGAAAAATAATAATAATAATAAATAAAAATCCTCGACAAACGCTAGTATATATATATATATATAAACAAAAGTTATAGTCGGTCTATGGGCGGAGGGTTGGCCGGCCGACCGGCGCGTGTCCACCGTCACCGCTGTCAGTCGCAGAGCACAGGCAGACACGTCCGTTGCAGACGCGCAGCAGCCACGGCAGAAATAAATAATAATACAAATAATTCTTTGGCTACACGCGCGCGCGTGCCACGTACATGCTTACTTCCTGCCTCCCCGCGAGAGCAATGTTTTCCCACACACACACACACACGGACGTCCGTTCGCTCACTAGCTCAAACACACACAAATATGCGCATATCGTGTGCCGAGTGAAAAAAGCACGACGTACACAAATATATAATAGTGCCGCCGCCGCCGCGGTGTGATGCCGAAAAGGCCAATATATATGTATATTGTATTATATGTATGCGCACAAAACAAAACGCGTCTGTTTCGGTGGTCCAAAACGCGTGGGGCGGGCTTTTTCTCGTTTTTTCTCCCTGTATATTGTTTTGTTTCACCACCACGTGTCCGCGTGTGTGCCAACGCATGCACAAACCCCTAAGACTGACACCAGAATAATGTTGTACCTACACATAATGCAATACCACCGCCGCCGTGTCCTATACC